ATCAAAACCACCGCAACACCTCATCACCACCAAGCAGATTCACCACCATCACCGACGTCTCACCATCGCAACACCTCATCACGGCTATGACGATGACATGAAAACCACCGCAAGCAGATCTAACCAGCACCGAACCGTGGTACTGATCAGCAAACTGACAAAAATTTCATATTGCTGCACCACAAAATCGGATGCTCTGATCTCCTCTTCATTATAGCTGGTAGCAATGACAAACAAACCTACCATCATCGAACCCACCATCACCGCACAAACCCGCCATTACCGAGCCCACCATTACAGCTGCTTCAGTGATGATGAAAACTCACCATCATCGATTAGTTTAGTCATTGCGTACGACTTCTCCGGGCCTGAGAGTGTCTTCGTCGGAGGCGCTGGGCAATGATAGTTCATGTGCAACACGATCTACTATGGTGTTTTGAGAAAGAGAGAAAATGATAGGGAAAATGATTAGGATTTGGAATAACTGGGTGGAGATATTTAATATTTAATTATTATATTGACACTTGATTTAAATAATGAAATTTTAGCCCTAATTTTTGAATTATGATATTTAAACACCTGGTATTATGTAATTTTCACTTTGTTTAATTTGGTTTATGGTTGAAATAGAAGCATTAATGATCCAAGGTCCAAAGTTGAGGCACTGTCATTAGCCAACTAAGAAGCCTGAGGTGTCTGTGCTCCTGGGTCAGAAAAAGCCCTCCCCATTACTCAATTGATGAGTTCTCATTACTAAATTTTATTTTCAATAAATTTGAGATCAATTTCTAAACTCCATTTTTGTGGGGTTTTCAATAAATTTAAGCTTGTGCGCGTGAATCATTTTTAATTGTACTAATTTGCCGATTTCAAATTATATAGGATTCTTCTAGAAATTTGAGATAAAAGTCCTTCAATCCTTTAAGGCACTATTTTTGTAAATTTGTTTAATGAATTTTCTTTGGGTTTTTAAGCTCGACTAGTGCTATTTTCTTTATTTATATAAAGATTATTTGCAGGTTTTACCATAAATTTAAGGTTGACTATGTAGACCTTTCCCCCATTTTCCCGTTCCTATTTTGCTTATTTCTGTAATGATATTTTTTTGTGGGTTATGCAATCTTGGCAGCCTTTGCCTGAAGAGCATCACAGAGGAATTTGCAGAACGGTGCATAAATGTGCTGGATTGCTTAACAAGTGGAGTAATGAAGCAAAGCAAAGGAGTTAGTGGATATATTATCAGCACCAGATGGCATAAGAATTTCTGGCTTTTGGCTTAGATTACTTAATTTAGAGAAGTATTGTGCTGAGAAAATAATTATTGTAGAAAAATGTGAGTTTCTCACATGCTCAATTTGGCCCTTCTTTGGCTTGTATGCCAGCCCCAAGGTGGGTTAAGCTTTTTCCCGAAGTAGCTTGATCCACTTTGACACCTCCATAAACATGTTAATCAATATATTCCGTAGTGCCCCTCAGAGTTTGAGGGTTCGTGGTTGCTACTATGAGAACATGTGCTTTACGTACCGATAGAATGTACATCCATTGGCATTAAAAGTCGAGATCAGGTTCCGTAAAATGAGACATGAACATGTAAAGGCAATTGCAACGTAAAATGTAGTTGGGAAGTTTAAAGAATACTAGCAGCGTTGTTGACAAAGGCAATGTCTGAGGTTACAGTACCAATGTATTGTAATATTCGTTTGGCAATGTTTCTAAATGGTTATCATATTAGAATAAAAGAAAAAAAGTTGATAGCATTCTGTAATATTTTGTCAAAATGAAAGTTTTTCATAGAATTAATGTGTCAAAAATCTTCTGAAGACAATGAATAACTAATCAAAGAGCACAAAAGCCCCCTCCCATTTTTACATAGCCTAAGACAAGATAAAATGCAAAACCATTTTAAAACTTGAAGATACTACAGATACTTGTAACCGTTCAATTTAGTGCATTACAAAATGCTGATCCATTCGATTTTTCTTAAAAGCCTCTAGCAAGATAGAGTAAGACACTGCAGCCATATAGTGTAGGGGTGATGGTTGGAAATTTACTTAACATGCACAGTGGAAATAAAATAAATTTGAATTCTTACCAAGGATTTGCTTTGTGTTTAGATCTATGATATAAATTATACGCTTGTTGAATTCTACACACTCTTTTGTTTTTCTTGAACTCCAACAATCACGATCTACAATCCACAGTTGTCCAATTGTCCAACCTCCAATGGAAATCCACACAGGGAACAAGAATAAGAGAACCAGGGTTTTTACTTTGCTTGTGTTAGCAAGAATATGAATTTTCTCTCTACAATTTTTAAACCCTAGAAAATTATTTATATAAGCCCAAATGGGTTTGGCTCATCTCTTAAACTTAATACGATTCAATATTTAATTAATCCAATTAATTAAATCTGGTCCATGAATGAATTAATTAATTCAATTAATTCGAGCTTATTAATAAGCAACACAATTAACTAATTATCCAACACTTGTCAATTAATTAATTGGTAAATCTCATTCTTCTAATTCTCCTTTTATGTGTGACCCATTAGATTCCCAATCACGGTACCTTATAATGTGAATTATTATTTTGATCTAATTAAAATCGATAAATTAAAATACTCATTTCAATTTATCACAAATTTATACTTGTCGTCCCAAATTGACATCTAACAATGTGTCAAGACAATACATGTGATGAAAAATATCATATTGTATGACAAAATCAAACTTGTTCATTTATTGTGAAACTATAATCCTTTCGTCGATATTATCCGATCAATTACGAGATATGAAAGTGTGTCAATCTCGATTATTGATCATATCTTTCATTCCACTATTAAGTCAATATAAGTTGAAAACTTATTTTTGACTTATGAGTACACATTAGCCAAGGATTTCATTATCAATTTAACTGAATAAAATGTAGATTATAATCTATTACTATCTAACAGTGACGAATCTTCTATTAATCATTCACAACCTTCGTATGATTATTAACATACCCGAATGATACTGTATTAGAGGCCCTTAGTAAAGTAGTATTCAACATCACCAAAGAATGATTGTTCTCATATAAGGCACTATGATGACCTCAATTCAAAGGACTAATTCCACTATCGAATGTTGGAGATTAATCATTAATACTCTGATAGTTATCCATGTAAAATCTCTCAGCGGGTCTCCAATATTTTATTCTATAACAAAATAATTATGTGTTCATTTAAGTATCACCACACATTAACTTGTGAGATCAACTACATCACAAGTAAGAAATGCTACATGTGATGGTCTGTCTGTAATAAAGATATCCGTATATTGTTATTACTTACAACCACGCAAGATTTAAGATTCAATCATATGTAATTTGTGTATCACAATCAGAATTCCTTACGATTAACAAATTACTAAGATTTGAATCTACAGATTCTATTATTTAATTTAGTTAAATATTAATTAAATAATAGATTTGTCATAAAATTACATCAATTATATATTGAAAGTGCTTATGTTCAAAGTTGATTGTACTTAAGACATGACACTTACATAAAATGTATGTGTTTGGGTCTTTTCGGCCATCTCTCTTTTATTGGTCTTTTGGTTAGTTAACCCATGTTTGGTGGAAACTAAAATTTAGATTTTTAACGTAGATCAAAATCAATGATTGATTTTAACCGCATATTCATGAAATTTACAATTTTTTGATCATACATTTCATCAATTTTTATCAAAATTTATGAATAATCTAAATTTAGCCCCCACCAAATAGTGGCTTAAATTTATTTCTTTCTTTTTCCTTTTTAGTCTTTTTTTTTTTTTTTTTTTTTTTTTTTTTTTTTTTCT